AATTTACGAATTGGCAAAAGGAAGAAAAGACGCAATTTTTTGGTTCGGTTTTGATCATTTTTGTTAGTTCGCATCAGTTCGCAATGAATTACGAATTCGCTACGAATTCGCAAAACAATGGTAAAATGCGAATTGTTGCATCATTTTTACGCCCAAAAAGTGCGATTCGTCAATTCGTCTTTAGACACTTTGTCCACACTAATGTTTTTATGTCGATATCGTTCGTGTTAAAAAAACGATTCTCCCTTTGTGTAAACAGACAAGGCAAATTCTAGTGTTTTTTCTTCTTATACAGACAGGTCGAGAATATCACTTTGTTCAAAAAACCTTCATTGCAGTTCATTCCCAACTCTACATGAACTAGTTTTGTGAAAAAAATCAAACAACAACGGTATATTTTCCCTAATTGTTTTCTTCATAAAACGCCAGCCAGGAAGCACATTTTTCAAAGTATGCAATAAAGATTCAAGCAGTGATGGTAAAAATCGAGATTAAAATGATGTAATAAAAGGAGAGAAATACTATTTTAAAATAATCCTACAAGAAAAAAGCTGCGACTATTTTGTCTTTTGTCCTTCGTCTCAAATCTCATTTAGTTATACACTGCTGATACAATGACCAAATAGATGAGTCGAAATACGGTCCGTTCATATAATTTAAAACATCATTGATTGTAAAACTGTTCAATGATATAATATAACCAACACCAGATGAAATAACAAAGGATTGAAACCCAAGGACCACCAGAACAATCGCCTGTCATATCACATGGAATCGTCTGACCAACATAACCATTACCAAATTTTGAATATGCAGCCGTACCAGAACAATATTGCATTATTTCACCCTGTGCCAAATTGTATGGATAACCAAATATATAGATCAGCGCATTTCGTGGATAATTATAACCAACGCCTTCAGAACCTTGTAAATCTTGAATATGCTGACTTTTTGAATTTGTAAAGAGATTCACAAAGCAAATATCGTAGTTGTAGTTTTGATTAACAGTCCAGCTAGTGTAGGCTGTCATGCTTCGTGCTGTCCATTTTCCATACGATTGCGCCCCACTTTAGTAACCGGGAATAAAAATGAAATTTTGATTGCTTCGCCAGCTATTTGCATCATAATCAAAGCAACAGTGACCAGCTGTGACAATTGTATCTTTGTTTCCAGCAGTAACAACTGCAGCTGAACACATTCCATAAGGAATTGTTTGGAAACGACGTAGCCTTTAGTCTTGAATGACTACGTCAATGTTTTACAGTTGAAGATTTTCTCTTTGGTTTAGCAAAGAAGTTTTGTTAAAAGAGAGACTTTCTGTTCTGAGCCCATCGAGAATCGTCGAAACATAACGAAAAGTAACCTCCACTTTTTATTGCATATTCGAATTTCTGTTCTCAAAATGTGCCCGTATAAAACTTATGAGTGAGCGCAAATCCGAGGCCGGAGTCGCAATCGGCATCGAAAGATATATTAAATGGGGAATGTATCAAGCATTCAGGAAAAAATCTGATTTATGAAATTTCGAAAATGGTCGTAAAAAAATAGCGCAGGAGGTTTTCAACGCTTGATATTGTACTGAGAGCATTTGTTACAGGAACGAATATAGTCTTCAATGGATTGTTTCATGTTTAGCCAATAATATTTATCGTTGATGTTTCTCCATGGTCGTTTAAATGTTTTATCTGAATCGCGAACGCGGCGCGATCCAAGCTAGAAAGGCTTCACGATCTGATCTGAATCGCGAGGGCGATACAATCTGATGTAAATCGCGAACATGACGCGATTTGTTTTTAATCGCGATCGCGACATAATCTGAACCACAAACGCGACGTAACTTGGAACGCGAACGCGACGCGGAAGAATTTTCGCTGTGCAAACTTCGCGGCCGGGCCAAGAATAGAGCGCGAATGTAACTAGGGACAGCACGACATTCTGTGTTTTTTGGCCTATAGATTAATGATTTGAACTTTTAACTTTATACTGGATTAGTTAAAAAGCTCCTTTAATGCTAGAAACTTTGATGGACTTGGAAGTTTACCTATTAAAGCTATTAGCAATTGAAATAAATTAACTTCAAGTAAACTATTTTGTGAAGCATGAAATTCCGCATCATTTGAGACTAATCAAATTATTTAAAAAAATTTTCTGCTTATTACAAACAATTAACAAAAGAGAGCAGTTTGCACGTTAGAACCGTCTCGTACAATTAAAAATATATGGAGCTTTTTTTGTGAGAATTACTGCATCAAACATCAAAAATGAATGTACAGTCTTGTAGAGAATAAAATTCTCTATTGTTTGTTGTGTAAAGGAAATTTTTTTATAAATAGGAAGTCATAGAAAATGCATTAACATTTAGTTAAATTTATATTATGTATCATCCGTTAAATACGGTCCAAGCTGAATCTGAAAGTAAAAATGCGACCATTTCACCACATTTCAGTGTAAATCTCTATTCTACCGATGAAGTTGAAACAGACAATTTTTAATTTCTCTTGCCTTTCCAAGTCATCACAAAAAAAAAGCACATTACTTTTCGAGAAAAAAAAAGAGGAACGTTGACAAAAGAAAAGCAAAAATATTTTGTCACGACAAGGTCAAAGAAAACTTCTCTTATTCTCTTTACATCTTTTCCTTACTATTTCAAAAAACGTCTAAGCAACCACACACGTCATAGCAAAACAATAACACAAATTTACTAGTTACGTTTTCAAACTACAATCTTAATCCTTGATTATTGACGTAGTCATTCAACTATCCAAGTTTATTACATGAAACTTTTGTTATGTTATTTCTCTAATTAGATTCGATCTATAGATACCATGTACCGTACGGTTTGTGTTCCCGCTTTATCTTATGTGCCAGTCACAACCGACTATGTCTATTCAAGTCCATATTTGACAAGCATTTCCCCCTTGTATCCTTACGTCGACAGTTTACATCAAACTAGTCGTGAAATTCTTGATAATACAAATTCTATGAAACATGACATTAACTCAATTCGTATGGAATTAAAAGAAATTCGAAATTCAAATTCAATAACTCCAATGGACTCGTGTTCAATATGTGAATCAAGACACCGTAGTCGTAGTCGATCACCATCACCAACTTCTCGTCGTCGCGACATCTATACCAATGATAATGACACAGTTCATTATTGTGGTATCTGTCAAGATTATGTGAAAAAACGTCCCTATTCACCTCCAACCCCATCTCCTAAACACCATCGTGTAAATTATACTTCAAGTGATGATGATGAATTAATCTACGATTATCGGAACAAATACAAATATGGTTCAGTCAGCAGTCTCGATTCTCATCCATCTTATAAACCTAAGAAAAACTATCCATCATACTTAGATCGACAGATAATGGTAAATCAGTTAAGAACACGCATTCCCGAACAGCGACCACAATGGATACCTACTGGTTATAAACATGATTATCCTTACAGACGATGGACACTCAAAGATAAACCAGAACCTTGAAAAATGATATTTTGATTGACTACTAGAATAACATAATCATTGAGTGTGACTTGTTTTGTCAAATATGTTGACTAATAAAATAATTTTGTTGTGAATGAAAAAATTGTTATTTAAAATTAGTATAAAAACTTTTCTAATTTTTTGAGAATTGGATAAAAGTAAGGCAGTAGTCAAGTGTTCATTTATTACTTTTGATAGTCTTCGTTTCGACAAAAATAGGCAGTAGAAAATACTTTGATCACTAAAATATCGAAACATTGAAATAATTAGATTTTCACGGTATACAGTCAGAAGAAGGCATATTGCACTGAGCTTTTTCAAAGAACAATCATGCAGTTTCATCAAATATTTGTTGTTTTTGTTATTCTACATTTATTCTCTTATTTTTTTAACTAAAAATTCAGTCATATCTTCAACAACGACAGGACTTTCATATGTAAAGCATTTTAGAAACGTTGCTATAGTATCAGTATCTCTTTATGTCACACAGATTGATTAAAATGATCAAACTCTATTTTTCAGAAAAACATCTTTATAGTGCTTAAGCTTATAACTGCAAGAATGAAAAATGCTCGTAGATGGCGCCAGCATAAAATACGTTAGATTCGTGATTACTGACCTTATTATTATTATTATAGTTTCTATGTGAATAAAACAAAGTACTTTCTCTCTTATTTGATGATAAGCAATTGTATTTTAAGAATAAATAGATAAGAATAAAGGTGACAAATGTGAATATATTGGTTCCAGTTACATCCATTAGGGAGAAAATATGAATGAATCACTAACCACATTTTTGTGCAAGGAAAACGCGAAGACAAGCGCACTGTAAAATAAATGACAGACAATGTCAGATAAAAAGCGTGACATAATGAAAAATTAAGTTGTTCTTTTTCTGGGACCTTACGTATGTGATCATAGCATGATTTCCGTAACAAAATCACAGTTAAATATATAATAGTTTCAACAGATATTTTTCGTTACCCCAGTTCGTAGTATGTGATTGGATAAAAAAACTCCATTTATTCTATATACTTTTTCGTTTTTAAATTCATTTAGAGAGAAATTTGAGTTAAGCAAAAATATATTTTACTTTCATTTGTTATTCTCAGTGATTAGTGATAAATAGATATCGCGGCAATTTTTCGATTTATTAAACTGTTTTACACTACAGTTACACTACGACAATAATCACGATTATGTTTAATCATGATTAAACATTTCCTAGTGTAACCGGAATTTTTTTGGATCATGATTAACGATATTTAATCACGATGAACAGATCTGTGTCTAACCGCACTATTCATGATTAAAAAGATAATTGTGATTTAACTTGTATCTATTACTATAAATACTCAGTGTGCAGGAGAGCACTCATTTTTGTGTTGGCAAGGTTAAAGTGAATACAGTAATACTTTTTAATCTGATCAATAGATTTGTTGACACCGGCTGGTAATGAATCCTTCTTGTACTTTGTTCCCGGCGTCACCATTCTGAAGACTAGCCATTTCATTCGACATCTTTTCATCTTTTTTAACAAATTTAGCAGCAAGTTTGTTTCTTCTTCAGACCACCACGATCTTTTTACCTTCGTTTTATTCTCATAACTCTTCTTAGTCAGTTTTAATAGAAAAATTCTTATTATAAAATTATTACTTAATTATTTATTAATCTGTAAAAAAGTATAGTAATGCCAGAAAAATTCTTCAGTAGACAAAACAACGTTCAGCTGATTACAGTTGAACAATCATATGGAACGCCGCTATTATGATCCTTTTTTCGATAGAGACGGTTAAAGTTACTCGTGATTAAAGATAATCATCTTTCGAACATGATTATCTTTACTCATGATTTTCCGAATAATCGTGAGTAAATTAGCAGTTACACTACCAGTTTAATCACGATTAAAGATAATCGTGATTATGTGCGTAGTGTAACCGTAATGTTAGTTTAATCGAATCAATAAGATGACAGTAATATTATATTTTACTATTGTATGCTTCATACGGTGGTATGTTGGGTACACCATTTCTTCTTCAGCGGACCTAGCACGTCACATTCGCATTGTGACAATAAAGAATGATGCTCAATAATACGTGAAAAACAAATGTAATCTCGAAATTACTATGGAATCCTTTAAAATCAAGTCGATATTTATCATGTACAATATTTTCACACAATACTCGCTAAATTTTTTGTCTGTTAACATTGTTCATGTTATGTTCAGTTTTCTTTTTTGTTGATATAGTTAGATCATCTTCTTTATCCATTTATATTTGATCATATATAATACCCAGGAATATCTATCCTGTGGGACGTTTGGGGCATAATGCTTCAAACAAAAGCAGAGTGGGATGCTTTTTGGCGGTAAAAATTCATTTTTCAGGTTGGCTCGAACCTCTGAGGTGATACAAAAGGCTTCAACTGCTTAGGTGGAGATAGACGCCGCTGATAATAACATAACATAATAAATTCATTGATACTGATTTATTTTCATTCTTTGATAGTTAAACTTGGCCCTTGATATGATTGGATTTGTAAGATGATGTTTTTGCTTTGCTCACAAGAATATTATCTGTCTGTTATTTTATTTGCATAAGAAAATAATGTTATAATCTTTCTTTGTTTTTTTCACATTTAAAGAGAAGAAAGTACTAAGTTACCTACATTCATAAAGCTGTTGTACCTGTAAATTAAAGCCGAATCACAGAGTAAAACTTGTCTTTTAAGGATGCTGTAAGAAAAACAGACTGAAAGAAACATCAACTATAATGTAAGACATTTTCAGCGAATGTACACTGAAAAAAAGCCGAAAATGCGAAAAAGCATCTTCTCCACTGGTTAAACATTTGTGGTCAAAAGTTTTTCAGTGATATATTTGCCCTTGTGTATTCCGTTCATTAGAAATGTAACGATGCTCCGTTTTTGCTGTGATACTTTATCCATTGTATTGGACTGACCAAAATTTCTTCTAATTGAAGTCATTTACACGTTTTTAAGAAGTAATTCAGAGGAAAAGTACAGGTCTAAGTTATGTTTGTTTATGTTAGATGTAAACAAAACGACTTTTCAATGAGAGTGACAAAAATTTTAGAATCACTCGAGTTTCATCTCTGACAAGACGAAGGTAAACATTAAAACGTATTTGTTTGGTTCGAAAAATACAGTTGACAGTCTACGTTTTATCTGATTATTTTGTTGTCAGTCAATCTGTTTATTCATTTATTCGCCAACTTGATTAATAATTCGTGACTATTATTCACTGTTGCAACGCCTAAAGACTTGGAAATATGGCTATCAAACAAAAATATACAGAAATTATAAGAAAAAGCTTCTCGTACTTCTCCATCAACGAAAATATTGACTTTTCTACTGAATATTTACTTTTTCAACATATTCCATATCTCAAGATCTGCTAGATCAAATAACATTGAGCGAGATTAATTGCAGCTTCATTTTCGATTGTCTTTGCTATTAACAGCTCTCATTGATAATTAAAAGTAAATATATCCATTACACTTGTTTATTTATGATTGTATTTTAGATGAGTGATGATTTGGGACGAAATGAGAGTATTGATTCATCTTTGTCTGATGATCGATTTCCCGGTGAATCGATGTTTAAGAAAATTACAGGATACGTCGGAGACAATCGAAAACAGGTAATAAAATTCTTTTATTTTTTATAATATATCAACTATTTATTTCTTATTTCTATTTCTAGAATTTACGTCAGTATTGGATTCCCGATAGTGCCGGTAAAGAATGTTACGATTGTGGCGAGAAATTTACTCCATTTCGTAGAAGACACCATTGTACGTATTCGCAATTTCTTTAAGACCGAATGTTACAGTCACACCAGTTTTACGGTTACACATGATTGCACATTTTAAAAGAACAGGAAGCAAAAGTGGCTGACT